CGGCCCCCAGCCCACTGCACCCTGGCCCGGGAGCGGCGACCCCGGCGCCACCCCTCGGGGACCTGGAGTCCCATTCCCCTCACGCACCAGGCTCGCCCCAGCTGGGTGTGGAAGGGCCAAGCTGGGTGACAGCCAGGGAGCGAAAGCGAAAGGGAATTTGGGGGGAGACTGCGAGCGGGGGTGAAACTGGGCAGTGGCGGAGGGCGCCCCCTCGCGGGACAGCGGCGCCTCGCCGGGCTCGGCCTGGACACGGCCCAGTCCCGCACAGGTTGGTCGGCTGCACCTTTGAGAGGTGTCCAGAAATCGATTCTCCAAAACTCAACCAAGTCTCACCACCCCAGTGGCCACGGTCCTCGTCTCGCGCACACTGAACTCTTAGGGAAACACTTGCCTCCTCACGGGGCGCCTGCCTCAGCCCTGACCCCCAAGCGCAGCTCATGTTCCTCCCATGGCGCCCACCTCCTGGGGTGAGGAAGTCCCAGTCCTCCTGGTGCACGTGGGCCTGCAGGATGCATTCCCGTGCTGTCTTCCCTCACCTCCTGTCCTCCTAGCTAGTTGTGCCCTTGCCCTCCTTGCTGGGTCTGAGGTGGGCATATTCCGGCGCCCGGGCCTTTGCACTGGCAGGTCGCACACCTTGCCCCCAGGTACCCACAAAAACAGCCCACCCGCCTCTCACTCAGGCCTTTGCAGAAACGTGGAAGGAAAGGTTTCCTTGACACCCTTTTTGAGCTGCACACCCTCCCAGCAGCCCTGCTCCCCCTGCTTGGTACTTATCACCTTCTAACACACCGTGGGGTTTATTTATCTTCTTCAGTGGGGTTTATTTATCTTCTTCAGTGTCGTTTGTCTCCATGGGGACATCCGCTCCAGGAAGCCCTCAGTGGGTATGTGTTGTGACCTGCCAACTCCCCAGCACCTACTGCTATGCCTGACACTGCTCCAATTTTTTTTTTTTTCAGTACTGGGGATTGAATCCAGGTCCTTTGCACTGAGTTACATCCCCACCCTTTTTAAAAGAGTCTCCCTAAATTGCTAAATTTCAAACCCAGTCTGGGTTTGAAGTTGCAATCCTCCTGTCTCAGCCTCCTAGTGCTGGGGTCACAGGGGTGCCTTGTAAGGAACAGGCAGGGGATGTTACCAGAAGCCCTGAAGTGAGTCCTGGTCTCCTGTGAGCCACAACAGCACAAGGCAAATTAATGAATAAAGGCAGGAAAGGAGACTTAGAGAAGAAGCTAAGCTTTGGGCCTGCTCAGTGCTGCTCTGGGCAGCAAAGATGAAGACCCTAGTTTACCGCGCCTTTATTTGGTACATCAGGAGAAACAGATGACTCAGAGGGTTGCAGAGTAAAAATCCTAGGACAAGGAAGAATTTATGCTGATGAAGATCCTAGTTTGATGAGGAACTCACGCTGACTAGGAATTTGCCCTTCCCAGGACGTCTCCAGCTGGTGTAATCCTGCCCTGGGGCATCGCAGCATCACAGGACCCTGGGGTCTCAGCTGTGACCAGAGGCGAAAACAGTTATGTCTCGACCTGCCATAGCCGGCCTGTAGGCAGGAAACTCGGCCTAATCATTCTTTGTGAAAGGATTTTCCCCAAAAATTATGTGGAATTACTCCTGATGGAGCATCACCACGCCGGCTCACCAAGTCTTGTTGGGTGAATGCAGAAGTGGGTCTGCACTACCTCCTTTTTCCTCCTGTTGTGTAAGAGAGGACGTGGCTAGTCTGGGCCCTCGTAGTAAACCCTCGGAATTTCGCCACCATTAGGGATGTTGCTTTCATTCACGGCCACACCTGAGTTCAAGTGGAGGTGACTCAGGAAGGGGGCGGGGGTGGAAGACCAGTTGTATGACTAGATCCCAGCCAGATCCTGGGAAGAGCAGAGACTGTCAGCTTAACAAAGCCCCAGTAAAAATTCTTTAAAAAGAAAAATTTTCTTAGACAGGGTCTCACTGTGTCCCAGGTTGGCCTGCAGCTCATGGTGATCCTCCTGCCTCATCCTCCCAGAGTGCTGGGATTGCAGGGATGCACTCCCCCGCCTGGCTGCAATCTGTATTCTACTTATGGTCAAACTGTGGCTGTAAGTACAGCACCTGCTGGAGTTTTGTGAGCTCTTGAGAACACGAGAGCCCCTGATTTTGTAGCTGGTTGGTCAGAAGTACAGGTGATCAGAGGATCCCTTTGGGGTAGACTTGTGGGGGTACTGCTATACCTGGAGAGCACAGGCACTTTGGGCTGATTCTGCACTGTGCCACTTGCTCCTGCGGGGGGCTTGGCAGCATGAGGTGGGTTTCGTGCCAGCAGATGCCCAAAGGTCATGGCAGAAGTGGTGGTTTCATTGCAGTTGTATAACTGCTAATTTAAAATGAAGACACCAAACTGGGCGTCGTGGTCACACCTGCAACCCCAGCACTCTTGGGAGGCTGAGGCAGGAGGATTGCAAGTTCAAGGCCAGCTTGGGCGATTTAGCAACTCAGGAGACCCTGTCTCAAAAGAAAACAAACAAAAAAGGATTGGGGATGCAGCCGATGGAAAGGCCCTGGGTCCCTTCCTCAGAACCGAAAACAAACAAAAAGACACTGGTCAGAAGAAGTCTGGGCCTCCTTGGTCTCAACCCCACAGCCCCTAGGGCCTCCACTGGTTCTGGTTGCGGCCCCTCGTTCCCACCCTGCTGGTCAAAGGGCTGTGTTAGCTTCCTGTGGTTGATGTGACACAGGATTACAAGCTTGGTGGCTTCAAGCAACAGAAATTTGTTCTCACCTGGGGCCTGGAGGCTGGAAGTCCAAGGCCAAGGCGCAGGCAGGCCACAGTCCCCTGCACAATAGGGGCAGGAGCCCCTGGTGACTCTCCCAGCTTCTGGCGGCTGCTGACACTGTCGGGTCTGTGGCCTTATCTGTCCAATCTCTGCCTCAGCCTTCCAATGGCCTCTTTGTCTGTTTCCATCTGTGTCTCAGGACACAGTGCCTGGGTGTACGTAGGGCTTAGCCCTACCCAGGGTGATCTAATCTTGAGATCTGCAGTATAATTAGATCTGCAAAAACCTGTTTTCCAAGTAAGATCTCCTTCATAGCTTCCAGTAGGCTGTGATGTATCTCCTTGGGGACTACTCAACCCACGGTCGGTCTCCACCTCTGTCCCCTGCCGAAGGGCCTTTGGCCATCCCTACCACAATGTTCTTATGACATGCCACTCCAGGCTAAACTGGATCCCCACCGTCCTTCAAGACCCAATGGAGAGCTAAGGGTGGTGGCATGCAACCATAATCCTATGGCTCGAGAGGCCGAGGCAGGAGGATTGCAAGTTCCAGCCCAGCCTGGGCAGCTTAGCAAGACCCTGTCTCAAAACTGAAAAATAAAAAGGACCGAGGATGTAGCTCAGTGGTGGGAAGCCTGCAGCCCTGGCTTCGATCTCCAGGACCCGGGGGTGGGGGAATAAAGGTGGCTCCTATGTGCGTGGTGCTGGGGGTGAACTCAGGGCCTTGACCTTAGACGAAATCCTTAGCCCTCTCTGGAGTTGGGGCTCAGCATTTGCTACCTACCAGCTTTATTTCTCCACCCCCACACCAAAATTGTTGATAAAATCCTCAATTCGCAGCTCCTCTCTGTCCCAGCCTGGGCTGCTAATGCCATGGCAGAGAAGGAACACTTCTCTGTCACTGTCTTTTCTCAGCCTTCGCCCTCTTAACTCAAACTTGGGTGAGGTGGTTCAGTCCCCGCCTCCCTGTGGTCCTCTAGTCTCCTGCCCCTTCCGTCTTCACGGTGGACACCAGCCCAGCTCCTTTACTAGTGAGGCCCCTGCTCCCGAAGTGCATGTGGTCATGGGACCTACTACTTTGGCCAGTGACACCAGAGAGGAAGGGACGGGTCCCTTCTGGTGGAGGCCTGACAGGCTGGGTGACGGTGGTTAGTGCAGTGACGGGGCCTCTGCTATGATCTGACTGTGTCCTCTCAAAGTCCATATGCTGACAGCTTAATCCGCAAGTGGATGATATGTTAACTGGATTTGGAGGTGGGGCTTTTGGGAGGGACTAGGACTTGGGTGCATTAACTCATGGATTAGCAGTGTCACTGGGCTGTGGAGGAAGTGGCTTTGATATAAAAGTGAGCTCTCAGCTGGGCATGGTGGTGCACGCCTGTAATCTCAGCACTCGGGAGGCTGAGGCAGGAGGATCGCTGTGAGTTCGAGACCAGTCTGAGCTACATAGTGAGTTCCAGGTCAGTCTCAACTACACAGTGAGACCGTGTCTCAAAAAACAAAACAAACAAACAATAAAAGTGAGCTCTCAGCCCAGGGTGGTGGCACACACTTATAACCCCAGCACTGGGGAGGCTGAGGCTGGAGGATTGCTGCAAATTCATACATAGTGAGACCTTGTCTCAAAAAATCAAAAACACAAACAAGAAAACGTACGAGATGGGCATGGGCCCAGGAGCTTTCCGAAAGGCACAAGGCCTTGCTGACCTCTCTACTTAGCTCAGGAACACTCATTTCCCACACTGACCTCCAGAACTGTAAGACAATACAGTCATGCTGTTTGCTTTCAAGCCTGTTTGTGGGAAGTTGTGGCAGTAGTGACAGGAAACCCTGCGCACCAGAATCTGTGGTTGATGGTCGCACGGGATGGCTGACTGTCCTAGGCCAGCTGCCCTGGGTAGATGTGATTGGACCGAAGAGGACACCTGACCCAGGCTGGCCAATCCCCTGCCCCAGCAGGGGACCTAGGGCCCTTCCTGCCTTGCTGGGCTGTGTCTGGGCAGTAGCATGATGAATGCATTAAAGCCCTTTAAAGCCCCCAAGTGGCCCATAAAACCACACTCAGTGCAAGGGGCCTCCAGGGATTTCCCTCCAACCCCTCCCGCTGCCCTCCGCAGAATGCCCTGGGTAGGGCTCTCAGAGTCCCCTTTATCTGTCTCACAAATGCTGTGTTGTCCTTTAGACGCCCACCGGGGCTGCTGAATCCAGAGCTAAAGAGCTTCATAAAGATCAGAAGTCACAGTCCCCCGCCTTGCCCTCCAAACATGTCTGGGGTTGGTCAGACAGTTTATTGGAGGACACAGGACCATGAGAGGAAAGTTCTAGGTGCCTGGCGTCTGTCAGGGTCCGCGTCTGCTCCGTGGAACAGGAGCGCTGGCACTGGACATCAGTCCCCCATAGGCAGCCACAGGGCCTTGGTCCATGCTGCCCGCAGCCCCAGCTCTGGGCCCGCCCCCTGGGGCTCCTGGTCCCAGGCCCGTGGGCAGCCCCTGTTCACCCACACGGGCTTGAAGTTCCCTGCTGAAGCCCATTCCACGAACTGGGAGCCCTGGGATGGGGAGAGGGAGGGGTTGGTGCTGTCCGCAGCTCATTTGCTGAGCAGCTGCTTTCTTAGAAACAGGGTTATGAGAGGAGACCCAAGGCTTGACCTTGCTGGATGCCGCACTCCTAGCGAGCAACCCTTCCAGATGCTGAGGGAAAAGAGGAGACCTTGTGGCTAGGGAATTTCCTCCCCATTAACGCCCACATCCGTGGGACTGGGGCCCAGGGCACTGGGAGTCCCCAGCTGTTACCAACAGGAGATGTAAGTGGGCCAACTTGGGCTCCCACTCTGTTGCTAGGGTGTGGTTCCTAGCAATGGGTCATCCAATGAGATGAGGTCTCCGGACTGGGCAGCTCTCGGTCCTTCTTGCTAAGGAGATCCTCTTCCTTAGCCTCTGAGGTTCTAACAGGGCAGGACCTCAGAACCTTACTGCTTAGGTGTTTTTCAAGTTCTCAGGGAGTAGGGCCACAGCCTCAGGAGGAGGGGGAGCTCGCCGGTGGAGGTTAAACCCTGAGAATGAGGAAACAAAGCGAACCTTTGCAGATCCAAAATACCACAGCGCCTGGACGTCCTGGTGCAAGGCCAGGCAGCGAGTCAGGTGGTCGCGATCTCCTGTCACTACGTTCACCAGGCCAGCGGGGAACAGCGAGGCCACATCCTGGGGGTGAGAGAGTGAGCGCTGGGCCAGGGCTGGGGCCAGACCCAGATGTCGTCTTGGGTGGGATGTGGGGACTCGGGTTCCCATGGTTACCAAGGGGGTGGGCACAGCAGAGTCCCGCAGAGCTGCGACACCTTTCATGCTGTTGCAGGGCCCGCTTGGAGCAGGAGCAGGCAGGTGACCATACCTGGCAGACCTCCAGGGCCAGCAGGGGACAGGTCCCGCTGGGCACCAAGACCACAGCATTGCCGTGTGCCAGGGCGGGGGCCAGCAGGGACACGAAGGCAAGCAGAGGCCACTCGTCAGGACACACGACTGCCAGCACACCGAGTGGCTCCCGAAGGCGGAGCACAGGGCCTCTGAGCCCTGCTACCTGTAGGGCCGAACAGAAGGTCAGGGGCCCGGCAGGGGAGCTCACTACCCGCGTAACCGGCCGACAACAATATGCGCAAAAGCTGGCGTGGTGCCACACGCCTGTATCCTAGCACTTAGGAGGCCGAGGTAGGGAAATCATGTTTAAAAATTTAGTTTTATTTTTATGAGGATCACTTGGAGTTTGAGGTGAGTTCAAGGCCAACCTGAACCACATAGTGAGGCCCTGTTTAAAAAAAAAAAAAAAAGGAAAAGAAAGCTGGGGGTGTAGCTCAGTGGTGCTGGGCCTGCCTGGCAAGCACAAGGTCCTGAGTTCGATTCCTACTACAAAACAAAGGGGCTTGGTTACTAAGTAGCTGAATATAATTGACCTTCATTAAAGTACACACTTTACACTTTTTTTTTGACGCAAGTTCTAGCTATGTAATTCAGACTGGCCTTGAGCTCACTATGTGGCCTAGGCTGGCCTCAAATTCACAGTGATTCTCTTGCCTCATGCTGGGCCCAAACTACACACATTTCAAAAGGTACAATTGGGGGCTGGGGATTTAGCTTAGTGGTTCTGCCGCCTGTCTCACAAGTGCAAGGTCCCGAGTTCGATCCCCAGTAACCAAAGCAATAAAAATAAAAGGTACAATTTGACATTTTGGCCATACAAACCCATGGACCTCACTCAGATTCCTGGGTCTCATGTCCTTTGCCAGCCCTGAGCAGGCACGATGCTACACGTACCACACTGCTTTACAAGCTAACCTGCTGAGGGACTTGTGGGTTGCTTTGTTTATTATAAAAACAGTGCATATCATTATGATGAATAATTGTGTGTAAATCTTTGCATGGATGGATATGTGCTTTCATTGCTGCTGAGCTGAAACCTAAGGATTAAGTTTATCTAGGTAAATACTTAAGGATGACATCCAGATCACTGGTACGACCATGTTTCTCTTTTTCACAAATGACCAAATTATTTTCAAAGTGGCTGTGCCTCTGTTTTTATAATTAGTTTATTAATTAATTCAGTACCAAGGATCAAGCCCAGGGCCTCTGCCCAGAGCTATATTCCCAGCCCTTTCAGTTTTTTTAAAAATTTTGGGTCCTTTAGGGGCACCCAAACCCCTGTTACCATGATCCTCATGATCTCACTAAGTTGATAAATTTCCCAGGCTGGGTTTAAACTTGTAATCTTCCTGCCTCAGCCTCCCAGCCTTTTGGGATTACAGATGTGCACCACCATGGCCACTGGCTGGGCCAGCAGGTGAGGGTCCAATTCCTCTTCATCTTTACCAGCACTTGGCCTAATCAGTCTTTTTTTTTTTTCTTTCTTTTTTTGGTGTTTTGAGACAGGGTCTCACTATGTAGTTGAGAATGACCTGGCACTCACTATGTAGTCCAGGCTGGTCTCGAACTCATAGCAATCCTCCTGCCTCAGCCTCCCGAGTGCTGGGATTACAGGCGTGCGCCACCATGCCCAGCTACCCTCTGCACACTTCTTAAAAAACTCTGAGAAGTTAATGGAAGCATCTGGGTGCTTCTTCTTGTGTTCCCCTTGGCAAGTTTGCACAAAGAATGCACATGATGACACTGTGTCCCTTGGTTTCTTAGGATCTCCTCTGCCCATGTTAACTTGTTTTCTTGGCGCTGTCTCTATGGAGCTCAATGTACTGCAACTGTAGTGAGTCCTTTGAATTTTAGCTGTTCTGCTGAGTGCATGGTGATATCTCACTGTGGGTTTGATCTGCTGCTTTAATGACTATGGGCACTGAAGATCTCTTCTTTTCCTTGGAACCCTGGGCCTTGTGCATGCTAGGCAAGCTCTCTACCACTGAGCCATATCCCAGCTGGGAGTGCATTTTCACATGATTTTTTGTTTGTTTGCTTTTATTTTTTAATTTTTTTAAAACATGCTCTCACTATGTAGTTCAGACTGGCTTTGAACTTGTGGTGATCCTCCTGCCTCAGCCTTCTGAGTACAGGAATTACAGGCATGTGCTGCTGTGCCTGGCTCCATCTTACTCTCTTGTTTGTAAAAAACAAAACTGGTGGGCCGGGGATTTAGCTCAGTGGTTTGGTGGCCTGCCTCGCAAGCACAAGGACCGGAGTTCGATCCCCGGTACCAAAAACAACAAAAAAACTGGGCCAGGGCTGGGCATGGTGGCACACGCCTGTAATCCCAGCACTCGGGAGGCTGAGGCAGGAAGATTGCTGTAAGTTCGAGACCAGTCTGGGCTACATAGTGAGTTCCAAGTCAGTCTCCACTACATAGTGGGACCCTGTCTCAAAAAAACTGGGCCAGGGATTCAGCTCAGTGGTGCTGCCACCTGCCTCACAAGTGCAATGTCCCAAGTTAGATCCCAGATACCACAAACAAACAAACAAACAAACAAACCCAAAAAACTATAAGGGTTATGTGCATTAAACAGGTGTTACAACCCGGTAAAGGACCAGTAATCCAACCTGGAGAAACACCACCCTCAAAGCACACTGTTTGCCTATTACACAGACAGGAAACTGCAGAGAAAACACAGCCCTTGCTGCTTGTTCACCGAGCAGCTGGCAGGTGGTGGCGCCAGGCTTAGAGCCCCCGTGGAGACCCTGCCAGCTGCGCCCTGTGCAGGCCCAGACCCCTCTCACCTGCAGGGTGTGGCCCTGGGCCTGAGCCTGGGCCTGGGCCGCCCACGCCCGGAGTCGCCTGGCGCTGAGCTCCACTTCCGCCTGGGCAGCCTCGAGCTGCGCACCGTGCCGCTTCAGCTGCAAGGCCAGGCCGGGGCCCCTCTGCTCCAGCGCAGCTGCCAATGCCACCAGCAGGGCCGCCCGGGCCCCTGGGCACTGACGCTCCCAGCTGTGGGCACCGGGCACGTTGGGGCAACCCCCGGTCCTGGATCCCAGCCCCTCCCCCGGGGTCCAGGCTCACAGCACATCAACAGCTGGGGTCCCCACCACCCTCTCTGCCACCTGTGGCCCGGGCTGCCCGTGTCCCCTCTCACCCAGTGGCAGCCCGGTGAGCGGCCTCCACAGCGCCTCGCACGTCCTCGGCTCCACCCTCGGCCACGTAGCCATGGAGTTTGCCCGAAGAATCCCAGACGGACCTGGAGCTCCTGGCCCCAGGAGGCTGGAATCGGCCCCCCACGAAGAGCCCATAGGGGGGCACTGGGCTGGACAAGGGAGAGGTATTTGTTCCACCCCACTGTAAAGACTACCCCAGCTCTGATGAAGTCCTGCAGAGTCCCCAGACTCCACTCCCATGAGCCTCCAGGGGAGCCCAAACCCCTGTTTCCATGAGCCTCTGATCAAGCAGACTTTCATGAAGCAGGACAAGGCTCTCCTCTGGCCTGGGGTGGGTGAGTCTGTGAGGCCCTAAGACCCAACATGCGCCACTTGGCAGGACCCAAGGACCCCCAGTTGCTAAGTGATCCTAGCCAACCTCCCCTCAGTTCTCTTGTCTTTGGGGGAGCCTGCCACAACCTCCCCTTCCAACCGAAGACCACTCAGCGTTGAAACTGCTCACACTCACCTGGGCCCTGTTTCGGGCCATGCTGGCAGGGTTGCGGGTACGGCAGGGCCGAAGTTGTCATAGTTCAGATGCTCAGAGACAAAAGGCGGCTGGTCAGGGGTCCCTGGGGGCTGCAGGTACTCGTACAGACCCTGCGGGAGGGACCGCAGCAGTGAGACGCAAGGTGGCACAGGTGGGAGCAGTGTCCAGAGGATGCAGTGTCAGGGGAAGGAGGTGACACTCACATCCAGGCCCCCGTGCCAGGAAGACCCACTCTCCTTGCAGCCACCTGAGGGCACTGCAGGGTCTCTGAGGCCGTGGGTGTTGACCCAGACTGTGCCCATCCGGAGCCTGCAGGGACAGATGGAGAAGTCGGAGAGATCAGGAAGCTGGGTGCCCATCCAGGGAGGGGGAGGGGAGGCTGCCAGGGAAGGGGCCAGGAGGGGAAGAGGGGAGGACAGGCTGCCCCCCGCAGCCCAGCAGAGTTCACAGACCCATAGCCCAGCTCCAGCGCCTGCCCCAGCCTCTCGCTCCACACGCTGGCGCTGCCTCCCCGGGGCATGCTGTTGGCCATGGCCAGCGCCTCCTTGGCTGTGCGGAAAGGGGAGGCCATGACCACTGGCCACGGGACCTGCGAGGGAGTTGGGGAGCTCAAGTGGTCTGGAGAGACCCTTCTTCCAAGGTCTCATCCATTAGGACACAAGCAGCTGGCAGTCAGCAGTCCCAGACCCAGTGACATGGGTACTCAAGGACCCAGGGTGGGCTAAGGGTGGAGGTGGTGGGGGAGACCAGATCGCTGAGATCCTAGGGGCTTACTTCTGCCTGGGCACATGGTGCGGCGGGGGGCAGACTACAGACCAACGTTGGGGGATAGAATGGGCTGCCTGGGGGCATGGTGACAGCCTGGAATACCTAGGGAGACAAAAACAGATGGAGAAGTGATCCTACACGCAGCCCTCCTCCTTGTGACGTGAGGGTCCGGGCCCAGCCTCCTCCCTCAGACCCACAATGTAGGACTCCAGGCACCTGAGTTGCACCCCGACTCACCTCTGCACCCTGGCTCTGGGCCTCCTGTACATAGTGCTGGGCTACATCACGGGCAGCAGCCCCTCGGGTCCCCATGTCCACAGCCCCGTCCAGCCCTCGGCCACTCCGCAGCCTCTTCATCCTTATCTGGAGTCGCCTCATGGTTTCCTCCCACATAGATTCTTGGACCAGGAGCCTGAGGCCGCCCTGTGAGGCACAGGCACCTGAGTGGGCAGCGTTAGGGTGGCAGGAGGGTGACATGTCCCACAGAGGGCTGGGGCAGGGATAGAGGAGGCTGATGGAGAAGCGGCAAAAAACAAACCCACACAGGGGTGCAGGAATAGAAAGGTGGTTCCAGGACAGCCAAGGCAGAGACCATAAAACCAGGGACAGTGACACTCAGAGAAATGAAGAGTCTTAAGGTTAAGGGACACGGAGCCCATGATGGCCCAAGACAGGACAGCTGGTCATGGAGATTCAGAAGCCAGTGAGGACTCCAGACACACATGGTGTAGACAGAGATTTAAGATCCAAAGAACTGGATATCCATGAATGGAGACTTAGGACCCCAAGGTCTGCAGAGACCTGACGCTTTCTGGGGATGTGTGTGTGTGTGTGTGTGTGTGTGTGTGTGTGTGTGTGTGTGTGTGGTGTCTCCCCGGGCTGCGGTCAG